AATTTATTTTATGGTGAAATTCAATATATTTTAGTATCTTAGTGACATTGTGCAGCTATCAGCATTGTCTAAATTTTGAATATTTTCAGCAATCATAAAGAAATTAAATACTATCTATAGTCACTTCCCGTTCCTACCCCCAGCTATAGGCAAATTTCTGTCTCTACATTTTGAAAGATACAGTACATCAATAAATCATAGTAGGGGCTTGTAGGAGTAGAAGACTTGCCAAGTGGTGCTCAAGAGTCCTGGGTATGACTTCTAGTGCTTCTTGGCTATTGTAAACAGCAGTTCAATGTGAGGGCCTGAGTAAGAGGTACAGCTCAGGAACTGTGATGTGGTAATTATCTAGAACATCCTGGTGTTGTTCTGAGAACCTCCAGAGCCACACCCAGTGATACTCAGGAGCCCCTAGGCTGTGCCAAGGAGACTTAGGTAAACCCATGGGTGCTGTGTATCAAAATGAGGGTCAGCCACCTGCAAGGTATATGCTTTATCCCTTCCTTTTACTATCTTTCTGACCCTATGTTTCTTGGGTTTTTTTTTTTGTTTTTTTGTTTGTTTGTTTGTTTTTAAAAAAGCAATATATACACATTTTCATGCTTCTTTTCACGTTTAAAGCACTGTAGCACTATCCTCTCATTGTTCATCGATTTGCTCTAACAGGCACCAGTAACGTCTCCATTGTGAGATTTGTTGTTACTGTTTTTGGCATATCAGATACATCACAGGGAGCTTTCCAGGCTCTGCTGTGTGGGCGGGATACTCTTGGTAGCTTATCGGGTTCTCCGAGAGGGAAGGAGGAATCGGATCTGGGAGGAATTGAATCTGGGTCAGCCATTTGCAAGGCAAATGCCCTACCTGCTGTGCTATTGCTCCAGTCCTTCATGTTTATACGTACGTAAATACTTAAACTAATTCTAGTACTATGCTCTGGTGCCAAAATCAATGCTTAAAAAAATTTAATACCATAAGTTTAAGTATCCCTGAAAGAAAATACAGATTTCTTTTTCATAGTATGTACATATGTATCATTTAACTGAAATTTACCAAATTTTATACAAAAAGATCATACCAATTTGCATAACCACAAATAATTTATAAAATTAACTTCCAACCAACAGAAAAATAGTGTTATTTTTTAAATTTTAATTGTATACTATTTAGTAATTGTGTATTTAATATTTTATCTTTCAGTTTTTCATTATTCATGTATTGACAGTTTCTTTATATGCTTATTAGTCATCCAAATATCTACTTCAGTATATTTCACATTATTCTTATTCTAGTTTTTTTATTGTTTCCTATTACTAAATAATATTTCATTTGTTATTTTGCAAGAGTAGCTAACATATTCTAATTTCAGTGTCAAATATATTCCCCAATGCCCTATTATAAAATATATATATTATATATTTTTGTTTGAAAAGAACTCTATTGGTACAGTGTCTTAATAACCTCTTCTAAACAAAATAATACTAACTTAATTGTGAAAAAATCACTAAAATAAGCAGTCATTTTATACTCTTGGAAAAATATTAAAATCTCACATACTCAACCAATGATTCTTGCCAGAAAAGAGTTCTAGAGAACAGGTCATTTTGTTCCACTGTAGCACTGTCGTCTCATTGTTCACCAATTTGCTTGAGCAAGCACCAGCAACTTCTCCATTGTGAGACTTGTTATTTCTGTGTTTGGCATATTGAATACGCCATGGGGAGCTTGCCAGTCTCTGCTGTGTGGGTAGGATACTCAAGATAGCATACTGGGCTTTCTGAGAGGGACGGAGGAATGAAACCCCAGGTCAGCCACATGTAAAGCAAACGCCCTACCTGCTGTGCTATAGATCCAGGCCCATTTTGTTTCAGAATTAGGAAAATATGTAGATAGTAAAATTACTGAGTGTGGTGATAAAGATGATAAAAAGTGAGCTGAGCCACAATTAAAGAAAAAAAACAGTATGTATTTTGGCTAATTTTGAAATTTTATTTGGAGTCCTTTTGAAAATAGAAATAATAGTATTTTATGTTGTAAATTTTCAGGTCAAAGAGCTATTAAAGTTTATAAGGAGTTCACAGTAGACCCAGATACAAATATTCTATATAACATAAGGTCCCCTGAGCATCATCAGGAATAAGCCCTGAGTAGCTCAGGATGTTTCTCAAAGTTCAAATTAAAAAAGTAAAAAAGTTCTGTGAATTTTCACTTTTTTTTTCAGTTGTAAGTAATTTTCTACAGAGTGTTTGTTTAATATTTTATTAGTTTGTGGAAGAACTTAGGAAAAGAAGAATTACTAGATATCAAAATTTCAATAGAAAACATTAGGCAAAAATTTCCAAACATAATTAAATTTTAGAATCAATTTATATTGACAACAAGAAGTTCATATTTTCCTTAGCAAGAAGCTACTTCTCCCTGCCCATTAAAAGTTACTCCTCATATTTCCTTCCAGATAATGCAGCATTTTCAGATGTTCCAGTCTGTAGATCAGCAAGTATTTATTGAGTATTCATTGAATACATTAATTCTAGTTTCAGAGTCAATAAAATTTTAAAGTTTCATCATTATAAGAAAAATTCATGAGCCTCCATAGATTGGCAGCTCCTAAAATAACAGCGTTGAGAACTGTCCAGAGAGAGATCAAGTTCTTGCAACCAAGGAAATAACAAGACTTTTCATTTCAATAATTTTTGCCAAATGTAATTTTAGCCTTCAGTGTTACTTTCATGGAAATATACCAGATGCTTTTATACTTACAGTTGAATTAAACAGGTAACAGTAAATGCTAGATTATACTTGAATAATACTATTAATTAAAATAATAGTATTATAATTATAATAATATTAAAAATAGTAATAGCAAACTAGTAAATGCTGAAGTAGTATCAGTACTTATAATAATAGTGATTGTATTATGATGATAGTAAAAGATTCATTAGAAATACTGATTTTGTTAACATACGCTTAAGTCAAATTTAGTTTGTGAGTGATAAACTTAATTCCAGTTGAAGATAATTTCACGTGGTCATGAGGAAAATTTAAAATAAATTATATATGCAGATATTAATTCAAAATTTAATATTTAGTGGTCATACATTGTTAAATATATTATCTGTAATTTAGAAGGCTAGACAGAGATGTGCTCCAGGCTTATTGCTGGCTCTATGCTCAAGGATCACTCCTGGCATTGTTTGGGAGAATCATAGATAGGGTCAGTTCAAACCCAAGTCAGCTTACAAGGAAATAGCCTTTACCCTGTTTCTGGCCCTAAACATTGCATATTTTATAGACCCCCCAAAAATTAAGAGCATTATAATAGCATGATAATAGCATATAATATTTACTAGGGTCTAAATTAGAATTATCTTAATTATACTTTTCATGTGTGAATTGTCAACTTTATTAGCATAATCGTTGAAAGTCCTTATTTAAATTCATCTTTAAATCATTTGTGTAAATGAGGATGAGTATTGCTTGCTTTTTAGCTTTAATTTAAAAATAAACATATTTTTCCTTGCTATGATTACTCTAAGAAATGCAGAATTCTAGACACTTCTCAGAGGAGGTGACCAATACACACATGAAAAAGTGTTCAGTATCATTTATCATTAGGGAAATCCAAATCAGGACAACAATGTGATACGAGATATTCGCATCATTGAGAACAGCACATACCAAAAGCAGTAGGAACAATCTGTGCTGGCAGGAATGTGGTAAAAAAGGAACTCTCATCCACTGCTGGTGCAAATGTTTTCTGGTTCAGCCCTTATAAAAAACAATTTAAAGAGTTTTCAGTAAAAATTCTACCACTAGAATTTAAGAACATTCATTCAAGAGGAAGTTTGCACACCATTATTCATTGCTTCATTTAGTACAATAGATAAATTATGAAATAATCCTAGGTGTTCCAGATGAATAGATTATGACTCTGTGGTATTTTGCACAATGAAATATACTAGCTGCAAGGAACAGTGAGATCATGCAGTTTGCTGCAATCTGGTTGAAACCAGAAAATAGCATATTGAGTGAAGTAAATATAATAACAATAATAATAATAACAATAAAGACAAAGGATATTATCTGCGGTGAATAGTAAAACTGGATGGATAAATGTAATGTAGTCAGAGGTGACACATAGACCACTCGACACCAGAGCTTAGAGAGGAGGACGGAAAAGTAAAGAAATCAAGGTGGAAAAGAAGAATTACTAGAAGCAGTGTGGCACTAGGAATAGGGTTTCAGTTATCCTGGTGATGTGAGAGTTGTATAGCTATATATACAGAGAACAAACTCAGCAACACTGAAAAGATGAGACTTAAGTTGCAGCCATAGAACTCTGTAATGTGAATGTTAAGGTGGCAGTAGGTTGAGAGGTGGGGTTTGGGGGGATGTGGTGGGAACAGTTAGATGGGAATAGGGGGAGATTAAGGAAACTTGTAGGAGAAAGTTGACACTGGTGGTGAGATGGTATTGAAATATATGTCTAAAACTTCACTATCAATAACTTTGTAAAACACAGTTCTTTGATTAAAAATATTTTAAAAAGAAATGCAGAATTCTAGAGAGAAGAAAACTGGCTGGTGGGCTCTACAACTCCTGGAGAATACTCCAGGCCCCATATAGAGCTGATATCACCGGGGGATCCCAGATGGGGTAGGTGCTGTCTCCCCTCCTTCTCCAGATGGAATCCTGGAGACCATGAGCTTCTATAAGCATGGCTCAGGTATGCGGATCACTGTCACTGTCCTCCTGTTGTTCATCGATTTGCTCAAGTGGGCCCAGTAATGTCTCCATCTTGAGACTTGTTGTTTCTGTGTTTGGCATATTGAATACATCACAGGTAGCTTGCCAGACTTTGCCCTGCGGGCAAGATACTCTAGTAGCTTGCCGGGATCTCTGAGAGGGGCAGAGGAATCGAACCCAACTTGGCTGGGCTGGCTGTGTGCAAGGCAAACGCCCTGCCGCTGTGCTATTGCTCCAACCCAAAGACATTTAGCACACGCCCAACGTGGGGCTAAAACCCACCCACGACCCTGAGATTAAGAGTCTCATGCTCTACCAACTGAGCTAGCCAGGTGCTATGATCTTTTACTATTAAGGATACTTTCACTACCATTTAATTAAGTATCCAAAATTGTTCCCAGGAACATGAATATTTAATCTACTCAAATTTTCTTTTCTTCTTTTTGGTTTTTGGGTCACACTTGCAATGCTCAGAGGTTACTCTTGGAATTGCTCGGGGGACCCTAGGGGATGCCAAGGATTGAATCTGGGCCAGTCACATGCAAGGCAAATGCCCTACCCACTGTATTATCATCACTCCGGCCCCCAATTCTGATAACTTTCTACTTGGATTCATCAACATGTATCTGTCAAACTACAGATTATTTCAAAAATAGCAAAACCGAGGCTGAGTGATAGTACAGAGGATAGGGCATTTGCCTTGTACTTGGCCAACCCGGTTCAATCCCAGCAACCCATATGACCTCCCCCACCTCCCCTCCCACCAGGAGTGATTTCTGAATGAAGAGCTAGAATAAGCTCAAGTATAGAAAAAAAGTAACAATGTTGAGTCTTTTTGTCCTAATATTGAATGTGATCAAGTAGAGAGAGAGAGGGAAAAGTGGAAATCTGCCACACAGAAGGGGGTTGGGTGGGAGGGGGGTATACTCGGGTTCTTAGTGGTGGAAAATGTGCACTGGTGAAGGAACGGGTGTTTGATCATTGTATGACTGACCGAGACTTGAACTGAAAGATTTTGTGACTGTTCTCATGGTGATTCAATAAATTTAAAAAAAAAAGAAAAGAAAAGAAATGCAGAGTTCTAAAACTGTCTTTAGATATAAAATGAGGGAAGTGGTAACTCTGGAGAAGTGGGTGCTGAAAGGAGGTAAAGTGTCAGGCGTGATATTCTAACAGTATTTTGCTTGTTTTCTTCTTTCATCTTTTCCGTTTATTTATTTATTTTTTAATTGAATCACATTGACATACATATTTACAAAGTTGCTCATGATTAGATTTCAGTCAGAAAAACTACTGTGCTTAAAGGAAAAAAAAGTTTTCTGCCACTAAGTCAGGGTCAGGTTTGGAGAGAAAATGTGGGCACTGGTGGAGAAAAGTGGATACTGATGAAGGGATTGATGTTGGAACACTGCCTGAAACTCAATCATGAGTAACTTTGTCATACACATGGGGACTTAATAATAAAAAATAAAAATAGAAAATTCTCTTTGTTTTAAAGTTTTATTATAAATGGGCTGAAGATATGGTACAGGACTTGGGACACTTGCCTTGCCTGTAGGCCACCAGGGTGATCACTGAGCACCTCTTGGAGTGATCCCTGAGCACAGAGTTAAGAGTGAGCCCAGAGTACAACAGAGTGTGATCCAAACAGACCCTTCTTCCAATTTCATTGTAAATCATTTTGTTGTACTTTTCCTGAAAATGAAGTTTTCCATATTTCTTATACTTCATAATCAATACAGATTTATTTAGGTTTTCATTGCTTTGTACAAAATCTTTTTTATATTTTATCACTAGAAATAAAACTGACAAGAAAATTAATCATATAACAGACCAATTTCCTGTGTTTGTCATTTTTGATAAGAAATTATTCATTAGTAAATATCCAAGCTCAGAGATCTGCAATCTCTTGGGCTAAATAAAAAAAATGAAATGTTCTCTGTGACTTCGGTATAATACTGTTTTGTCACTACAGGCAAATGTCAGTAGAGACTTTAACCTAAATATAGCATGTATCACCAGTGTTCATATCTCCTGAGCATTACCTTCTTTCTCATAACAAAAACACTCTGATTCCATGCTACAGAACTCCTTTCCAGGCCAGTATCTGTATTTTCAGTTCTCCTTTTGAACTCTTCTATCAATTGTATCACTTGTCATGCCATTGATCTTTGATTTGCTCAAGTGGGAGTCAGTAATGTCTCCATTCGTCTCTGCCATGTGCTGTGTAGCTCAATAGCATCTGCTCGCTCCAGGAATACGAAGAGCCTCAAACTCTTTGTTCAAGGTTTTGATGAAGAAGTCTGACCATCTCGTAGGTGGGAGGCCACACGTCATTTTGACGCACCCTGGAATACAGTCGTCTCCAAATCTCATTAATGTCCAGCCCATCTGATTTTTGAAGCTTTGGCAAACAAGATAGCATCCCTGATTCTTGATCGTTGACGGAGGTCAGAACTCCAGATTTCTACTCTCACTTGAGTGAAGCGTGATACTCCAAGCATAGCTCTTTCAATTCCTCTTTGGATACGCAAACTGTGTTCTCGTCCTGTTTTTGTTAAAGGCCCAGGTCTCTGAGGTGTATGTTACTGCAGGAAAAATGGTGGTGTCAAAGAGATGTGCCAGAAGCTGGAGGTTGTTCATCCTCTTAACAACTTCTTCGACTCTCTTAAAGTTGCTCCACACCGCTCTCTTCCTCCTGTACTGTTCTGGCACTAAGACGTTCCTCATGTTGAGTTCTCGATCCAGGTACACATAACTGCTGCATTCGGAGATGTTCTTCGGTTGAGAGCAAATGGATAGTCAGGGACTAGTTCATTTTTCATGAGCATTGTATTGGTGAGAATCAGCTGCATTCTGATCATTCCACACTCAAGGTCGAAGTTGGCCAGCATTTGTTACACTTGGCTAATGTTTGTTGATATTAGAACGATGTCAACAGTGAAGTGGAGGTAGTGTAGTTGCTGACCGTCTAACTTCACTCCCATTCCTTCTCATTCCAGTGATCACATGACGTTCTCAACAATGGCACTGAAGAGGTTCAGTGGAATGGTATCACCCTACCTAACCCCTCTCTTGATGTCAATGATGTCACTTCCTTGTAGAATGGTGAGATCCTGGTATTGAATCCGTAGTACAGCTCACGGAGGAACCTGATGTATTGAGTTTGAACACCCTATTTGGCTAGGGCTTCGATGACCACTTCAGTCTCAACAGAATCAAAGGCCTTCTTTAAATCAATGAGCATTAAGCAGAATGGCATCTCGAACTCCCGAAAAACCTCAATGAGCTTGATCACCATGTGGATATGGTTGATCATGTGAATTCTTTTCAGAATCCAATTTGCTCACATGGTTGTCCTTCATTTAGTGTTCTGCCTATTCTATTCAGGATCACTCAAGTGAACAACTTGTAGATGACGGATAACAGGTAGATCATGTGATAGTTGCCAATGTCGTGGATGTTTCCCTTCTTGTGCAACAGAATAGTCCTGCTAGTTTTCCACTGGGACAGAACCTTGCATTCAGAATGGTAGCATGTGAAGAGCCGAGCCAGTGTATTGATGAGTACTGATCGCAGATTCTTCAGGCGTTAGGGTCTGACCTTGTCTGGACTGGGTGCTGTTTGCTTCTTTACTGATGAAATGGCATGTCAGATTTTAGAAGGGAGAAAGTTGGAAATGACATATATATCCTGCAGAATTTGGCATGTGGGCAGGTGGACAAGGCTATCGAAGAGATTCGAGTAGAAGTCATGGATAATCTTCTCCATTGCCTTACTGGAAGATGTGATAGATTCCTCAGGACGTCGGAGGGAAGTCATCTTGGTCTTGTAGTTGACGAGGCACAGGTGAGCATTGCGAATACTTTTCCTGGCTTCTGTCGTATCTGCCAACATTGCTACTCTTCTGTCTTTGAGGTCTTCCTATATTGCTTCTCTGCACTACTTTTCATGGTTGAACGTTAGCTTGTGGTTGCCTGAGGCTTGCTCCAAGCCACTTTGGTGAATGAGCTCAAGAGTTTCTGAAGATAGGCTGCCAAAACAAAGGACTGAAATGACTATCTGTAATTTCAATGCATGTACACTGGCATCAGAAGCATCCATTGAGGTCCTGATGGTGCAAGCACAGAAGATCAAGTACAACATCATTGATCTGATTGAGACGAGAAGGCATTGATCACATCACACCATTTCCGACACTGGAGAAGAACTGTTCTTTGAAACATGACGATAAAGGCATAGGTGGTGTCAATGTCCTTGTCAACACGAACTTGGCCATGAGCATTGTTTCATTTGAATGCCTACCAACCCAAATCAGACAATTGAGCTTGAATTAATATGACTCACTACCGGCAGTTTCTTTCTTCATCGTCTATGCACCAACGTTCAACTATGATGAAGAAGAAATTGACAAGTTTTACTTGGAGCTGGAGAAGTTCTATAAAAAAGACCACACTTTCTACAAGATCATTGTCGGTGGTTTTAATACTAAGATAGGACCGAGAAGGTCGCCTGGAGAACTCCAAATTGGGACTCATGGCCTACACTGGAACAAACAGGGTGAGAGACTGTCTGAGTTCATCATGTTGACCAAGACCATCCATGGTAATTCACAGTTCCAGAAGGCTGAATCTAAATATTGGACATGGGAGTCTCTCAGTGGAAAGTTCCACAATCAAATTGACCACATCATATTTATTGATGGTTTTGCCTGATCAATGTTGTTGTTGTCCCAAAATTCCAAACAAGATCAAACCACCATCTCCTTCGTGCAAAATTTTACTTCATGGAGAGGGAAGAAAGGACTGCAAAGTTTAAGAAGAGAACTTCCAGAATGACCACCAACTGGGAGCTCTTTGGCACTATTGCGGCAACGTGGGAAGATACAATCGTTGGCAACATCGATAAGGAATATGATCGACTGGTTCAGCACCTCCATGACTGCAAGAGGAATGCCGAGAATGCAAAAGTCACAAAAAGATGCCTGTCTTCGGAAACTTTTGAGTGAACTCTGTAGCACTGTAGCACTGTCCTCCCATTGTTTATCAATTTTCTCAAGTGGGTGACAGTAATGTCTCCATTGTGAGACTTGTTACTGTTTTTGGCATATTGAATGTGCCACAGGGAGCTTGCCAGGCTCTGCCTCTATCTTATTTAAATCAAATAATCATCTCCTAATCTCAGTGATAAAATGATTTTCCAAGACATATCAAGACTATGATTTATAGTTCACTGCTTTTGTAAATCAATGTACTGTTATTCATTAACCCTTTCTGAATTTAAAACATTGGTGTTACTTTTTATTTGTATACAAAGTTTTTCATTTCAGAATTC